CAAAATTGGTCCTACAATTTAGCCACTGTCCAAAAAATCACCCCGATGTTGATCACTTTCAATTTAGGTCATATAATTTGTCAATTTCATCAATGTTGGTCCTTTTTTATCCGCACCCTGGATTAAAAAGTGACGTGGCATGAAAAAAGGACCAAAATTGATGAAATCGACAAATTATAGGACCAAAATTGATGTGCCACGTAGATCATAACCACGCCATGGAAAATTAAAAAACTAACACATCATGCCACGTCACTTTTTAATCCAGCGTGCTGATGAAAAGGACCAAAATTGATGAAATCGACAAATTATAGGACCTAAATTGAAATTGGTCAATATCGGGGTGGTTTTTTGGACAGTGGCCAAGTTATAGGACCAATTTTAAAATTTTGCCTTGATCATGTCACAACATAGGAAACACTTCTTTATATTGTTTGTCCTTGACTCTTATTGATTGATAGAGATTGTCCTTGCTTCTTAATAAAAAAAAATACCATCTAAATATAAATGAGTAAATATAATATTAATTTTTTATATAAACAAAAAATATAAAGTAATTGATAATGAGTATAGAATTACCCTTGCGGATTCAAGTTATTTCAACGATGTTCTTTTTATATATCTAAGATTTAATTTTTTTTCTGATTTATATGAATATAAGCACATTTGACTAATTTTTATAAAATTTATTGAACAAAGTTACTATTTTTTTGAAAAACTGATAAGATATTAAGATAATACTGTACTTAACATAAATGTGAGATTAATTAAAATAAATCTTTTTAATTTAGTCATTAACTAATTAAATTTAACTATAAAAGACCTTCTTAAATGTGAGATTAATGAGTAATTAATTAAAAAAATATAACTTCTTTTGGAGGGAAAGTGAAAATATTTTTATTAAATGTGATTAGCTAGCAATTATATATACTAGTATTCGACCTGTGCATTTGCACAAATATAAATAAATTATTGTGAGTCTGTATGCATATAATGATTAATTATTTTTTTTTTCACTTTTTTGCAGACCAAATTTACAATTAAAAGAGTTGGAATATATATTTTTTTAAATTGCGTTTATCTGATTGGATAAAATGTATATTTTGGTACGTCTTTTATTTGTGAATTATTTATTATTTATTTAGAAATTTTAAATATATTTTTTATTTTTAAAATAAAAAAATTAAATGTAACATCAATAATAACATCTAATCACATTATACGGTCAACACATTATATGGTCAACTGTCATTAATCAAAAGTTTAAAATGATTTATGTAATTTTGAAGTGATGAGTATTAATTATTTAATGATTAAATGAAAGATTAAATACATCAAAATGTAACGGTTTTTGGAGGGAAAATTGGTTAAATTTCCACATAGGTAAAATTAAATAGGTTTTATTAAATACTATTAGCTAGTAATTATATATNAAACAGGTTGAAACCTGTTTAGAAAAAAACAAACGCAAGACATGCCAAACCTAGAAAACAGAACAAAAAAAACCGCAATCCAAATACATGAAAAAAGGCAACAGCCGCAAAGCCACACGGAAGCCTGCTGCCCAATACAACAGATAGCACAAAATACAGAGACACCAAACTAAGAAACCAAAAACAAGAAACATAACTAAAAACACAAAACTAGCCACTGCCGAAGCCTAGCTAGGAAAATAACAAGCCAAAATAATAAAAACTAGACAGAATTTACCTAAAAAAAACATAGCCTAAACCTGAGAAAGAGAAGAGCCATATTCCTTCCATTCCTTCAATGCAATGTCAATGGTAATATGCTCTGGTGTCATAGTTTGTTGGAAAACCCAAAGGTTTCTAGTTTTCCATAATTGCCACAAAATGTAGAGGAGAGTTGAATTCGATCATCAATTGCTTTTTCCTTATTGAGAGAACAAATGTCAGACCACCAGTATTTGAAATTGAGATCAGAGATGTTATGGTGATTCCATTGAACAGGAGAATGCTTCCAGATTGTTTGAGCTCGAGGACAATGGAAAAAAAGGTGTTCAGTGGTTTCAGGACTTTCACCACAAACTGTGCAGGTGGTATCAATGGTGAGGCCTCTTTTTTTGAGGTTGACAGCAACAGGGAGGATTCCAGTAAAACATTTCCAAATGAAATGTTTAACTTTACCTTTGATTTTCAGCTTCCAACTTCTGTTTCGCATCTTTCTCATGGCAACAGCAGATGCACTATGTTCAGGTATGTCAAGAGTGAGGATTTTTTTGTGGATAAGGTGAGCATATGTAGTAGCCACTGAGAATTTGAGTTTTGAATCCAAAGACCACACAGGCCTATCAAGGAGGTGTTGGGACAATGTGTTGATTTTGAGGATAGCATCACATTCTTCCTGTGAGAAGGTGCTGTTGAGAAGATTTCTGTTCCATGAAACCCCATCTTCTGCAAAAGCCGTGCTCATTGATTGAGGAATGTATAAATGGGCTAGTTGTTTGGTGCATTAAAGATTTAACACAAAAGAATATATCTCCATTACTTTAATGGGTAAATTTTCAAAGGCCATTCTTTTTGTTCAAAAGAATCCAACTCAAATCAAAGCCAGATTGTAAAATATGCTCCGAAAATCTTAATTAAGACAGGTAAACGTTTTTCCAGACTTTTATCTGGCGCATACACAGTGGCATCACATGCATGTGTCGTTATCTAGGCGAACTCTCTCTCTCAACTCTGCTTTTCACATTCTTTTGGTAACTAAAACTGCACCATTTCCTACTAAGCTTCTAATTAGGCTTCTACGAGTAAGTTTGATTCCATGCATTTAATTATGCTGTATTGTTTCTGCAAGTTTTTGTTTGGACAGCACTTCTTATCTTATGGTTGTCATTTTTTTATTTTTCAAAATTTTTGGGAATTTTACCCTGTTTCTTGGATTAGGGTTACTGAGTGTCGTCGCAGGTGGCCCATTTTTAAGTTCGCTTATGCAATGCGTGTCGAAATACTTGATAACTGATAGCTTTCGCATTATGATTTTCTATTATTGTTAATATTTTTGTGCAACGGTATTTTTTCGGTAATTTGCTGAGAATTAGTGAATTTTCCCAATCTTTTACTTTGTTTCCGCAGACACTTTTCAGGGCAATGAAAAGAGCGAAATCTGCTCGAGTCGAAAATTGGCATAAGTAGGGGTATTCACGGTCCGGATTGATCCAGTTTTAGCCCAAACCATGACCAAACTGGACTTAACAGTTAATTTTTTTTTCTTATCCATAACGGGACCGGTTTTATTTCTTAACCGACCACAATTCGGACCGCATTAGACGGTCCGATTTGGCGGTTAATCGTCCAAAATCCTTGTTTTGGGCCTTTAATTTTTATTTTTTTCATTTTGGACTTAATTTTTAATTTTAATTTTGAGCCCAAAAGAGATTATTTGGGCCTAAAAATTAAGATAAACAACAATAATAAAATAAAAAATACACAATTCTTCCCATAAGCATAAAAATACACATTTCGTCTCATAAACATAAAAATACAAAAATGATAAAAATTAAATTATGCAAACTGAACCCAAGCAAGCATTCATTTTTTAGTCAGTTTATATGTCTGAAATAATAAGAACAAAGTATTCATAGTGAATGTATTGTATTTGTCGGCCATAGTGAATGGCTGAATGTATATAAATATATATATATATATATATATATATATATATTTGTTATAGTTTTTCAATATTTACCGGTCCGGTTAAACCGGGGGTTTACCGTAGGTAATCCGTTAACCGGACCGGTTATTCCGGATTTTTAAAAAAATTAACCACCAGATTTTTTAAGGCTTTTTTAACTGACCATTTAACTGATTCGCGGTCTGGATTGACGGTTTTTTCCGGTTAAAACCGGACCGTGAACACCCCTAGGCATAAGTAGTGACCTCTCATCTATATATATTGAAAAAGAGAGGTCAATAAATCATTTATGGAAAGTTTTAATAAAATTGCAGTCAACCAAATTGACTTACTGAATATAGCAACCATTTTAAAACATCAAAAAAAAAGAAAAAGAAATCAATAGATTGGTTTAGGTTAATACCTGTTCCTGATTTTGTGGAATTCGTGGATCTCAATAATTGGTAAGCCAATTATTTAGGAAACATGGCATATCACAAACCATTTTGTTTGATATCTTATCAATTTGAAATTGTCTTTAATATCGTTAACAATCCTTATTTTACGTGAAGATAAAATGTGTATTACAATCTTATCAAAATCGATCCTTCATTATCGGCTGGAAACTTAACTTTGACCGATCAAAATCACAATCACATCCAAACAAATTCTCGCACTCCCAGAATTAGATAAACAATTCAGATCCAAATTAATTCTCCCAAAATCATATCCAAACAATTGGCTTAACATGAGAAGGGAACGACAAAGCTCCATCGAGTCTTCTCCATAGTTGATGAACGGCCGGGAGGAGCTTAGCGAGTCGCTAGAGAATCTTGGGATCTGCGTGCCGGAGGAGAAGCGTTGCGGGCGATTATCGAGGAGACTGCCGCCGACGGTGTTGCCTAGGTGGACGCCGAGGAGTTCGGCGCACTGGACGCGGCGACAATGGAAGACGGCGGATGCGACAAGGGTGAGGGTGACATCGGTGAAGAGGACGTGCGTAAGGCGTTTAGAGTTTTCGATTGGGACGGGGCGGGTTAATAACGGCGAATGAGCTGAGGTTGATGTTGGCGGTGCTAGGGTTGAATAGGTGAAGACGTATGAGGATTGTCGGAGCATGATCGTTAGGGTCGGCGACGTTCATTGGGGTAAATTTATTGTTTTGTTTTTAATATTTTTTTGTTTGTTTGATGTGCAAATTGCAATTGGTGTAGTTAATGGATTTTGATTCTTGCCTCTATTTTTAATTGGGCTGAGAAATAATATATATTTTTTATCTTCAAATTGCTGCCGGAGGGGTTTATGGAGAGGACTAAGGGCAGGGGTTTCGTGATAAAGTCGTTGGCTCCATAGAGACTGCTGTTAGAACACGCTGCGTTGGCCGGATTTGTGACCCACTGCAGCCGGAGCTCCAATCTCCGCCTCCTGCGGCCGTTTCGATTGGATTGACGGCCGATGGCCTTCCCGTGGGTGAACCCATGATGGAAAGGGCCCAGTGGAGCTCCAACATCTTTTCGTCACTTCTTGTCTTGGAACAAACGACGAGTTCTGCAGTAGTTATCTTAAAGTTTGTGAGTTTTTTTTCCATACTATGATTTTTTTTTCAGCTAAAGATTGGATTTTTATGAATTTGGTTATTGATTGTGTGAATCTGGTTTTGATGGGTTTGGGTTACGAAATTGGGTGTTGATTTCTGATTGTTGATCTGTACTAAAAACTGTCTAATTTTTGTGACATGTCATAAATTAATTGGTTGAGTTGTTGAAGTCTGATTTATGGATTATGACAACAAAGGAAATTGAAGTTTGATCATCAAATTGGGATATATTTTTTTTCCAGCTAAAGATTCGATTTTTATGCATTTGACTATTGATTGTGTATTTGTGTGAATATGGGATTTACTGGGTTTGGATTACAAAATCTGGTGTTGATTTCTGATTCTTGATCTATACTAAGTTGTCTAATTTTGTTGAAAATGTCGTAAATTATTTGTTTAAATTGAAGTCTAATTTTCGAGTTTACCACAACAAAGGAAATTGAAGACTTGAAGCTGTGATGCGCGGGATGCTGATGATCGGATGCCTGATCTATGCGGAGTAGAGGATGAACAAGGTGTTCATGGTGGAGGAGATGGGGGTGGCGCTGCCCTTGATGAGTGCTTGCATGCTTAGAAAGTGAGCTTGATGAGCTCCCGTTTTTCTTGAAGTTTATGCTCTCCTCAAATGTCTCTCATGTATTCTTGCTGGTAACAAGCTAGCCATTCATAAATTTCTATCATTTTTTCGAAAAGCTTGCATTAAGCGCTGATACCGTTGTTGTGTTTTTTAAGCATATTTATTTTATTTCATTTTGGTGGAGTCAGTGGACGTGTACTGCCCCAAGACCTGTGCTGCAGATGAAGTACAAATATGAGGACCCAAAATTTACTGAGGGCACTGTGAACCTTATGTTCTGAATTATCTTTAGCGACGATTAATGGAGATACTCGAGCAGGAGAGTCATATTCGTTTCCTACAATATTTATATTGCCGTGTTCTAATCAAATTAGAATGTGGGTGTTTGGTAATATTCTAGATGACTTCGTATTCTTATTTAATGATCAGGGATCCAATGACAGCCATAAGGCTTTTTTTGGTCACCTATCCTATCCTGCAATTATTTCAGAGGATTCAAGTGGTCCGACATTCCTTCATTAAAGATTCACAGTGTGATTGGTTTTACTGTGGACAACAATCCTGTACATAATCATGAGACCGAGGCTGCTTTACCTATCAGATGCGTAAATTCTGTATTAATGGATTCATGCATGAAGTTTCAGAATTCTGCTAAATCTGATAGAATTTACAGAAATTCCAATTCATACCTTAAATTTATGCTCAGGTGTAAGAATGATTCACACCTAAATTGAAACTCTTGGTAGGATTAGTGTTCAGTTAAGTTATTTATCTGAATCTTTATACCTATTTCTGATTGAAACGTTAATTTCAGACTCTATTTTTGCTATGAGTGTTTTCGATGTTGTGTTCTTATTGTCCAGGCTTTTTGTTGATCTGTTGTTTGTTTTTCAATTTTTTTAAGGTCTTTTTTTTTTTCTTTGTAGTGTTGTTTGTTGGATGATTTTTAATATAGCAAACTTGATGTGCTACTCATTCCTAGAGATTTCAATATCGAAATAGAATGACTGTTATTACTAAAGGAATTGATTTTGTATGAGTATTAGCTTTAAATTTTGTTTTGAGTAAATAGTCCTTATGTTGTTCTAATTTTGTGTTGTGTTGTGTGAGCGACATGGGAATAAAATTTATATTGTGTAAAAAAAGGTTACATAAACTTTTATATATATTATGAAAAATTAAAAACATTTAAGTCAAATAGAAAGATTTACTTTTAAATTTCAAATTTGTACATCCCAATTACCATTTAAGTATATTTTTTACAAACATGTGCAAATGTTCGATATAAATATTGAACAATGACACTCATGATTTAATTTAAGTCATATACAATAAGAATCATAATTTTATTTAATTTAATTTAATTTAAGCAATCAAGGTAAATCATTAATTCAACTTAAAGTATTCTCAAAGTTGCTATTGTTATTATTATTATTTTTCCATTTTTAAGTTTTGTTTGAGAACATGAACTTAATCGATTCGAAACATTTTTTTTATAATATGTTCTTTTGATGCTTTAACGTGTAATTTTGATGTAAAAAAAGAATATAGCATAAAGTAGCATTAAAAAAAAAAATAATTGCAAAATTGGCAACTAGCATAAGTTTTTCAACAAAAACATGGCATTTTAAATCCACGTAATATTTTAAACGCTAAGCGATGCTTGGATATAATTTTTTTTTATTTTGTTTGGATTTTTGATTTTGTTTGGTTAATTTAAAAAAAAAAATCTGTATATATTGAAAGAAGTTGATAGAATAATCAAGAGAATTACTTTATTATATATTACAGTCTTTTGAAATTAAGTGTTGCTTATAATAATTGCCACAATTTTTAAAATTTAGCATATCTTATTTAGAAATCTAAATAATATACTGAATCCCATTTTATTTTTTTTGTTTCATTTTTTATTTTATTTTTTCCCAATCTGAATCCTATTTTTTGGTGACAAGGTTGAAGATTCAGGAAAACAAATTCAAATACAAATTAATTTAAAAACCGTGCAAATTGATAAAACCACGTGCAATTTAAATTAAAATTTGGACGGGATATACATTCAAAATCGTATCCACCTTTTGGTAACAAAATCGGTTCATCTTTGACATTTAAAATCAAATTTTATCCAATTATTTCGGAAGAAAATTCAAATCAAATCATGTGCAACTTTTTAAAATTTGAATGAACCGACGTTTTTGGATTCTTATGTTTTTCTTAACCATGTTTTATCGATAAACAGTTGCATAAATCTTAACAAAATATTTCGATCTTTTATTAGAATTAATTTCAATTCAATTTGTTTAGTAAAAAAAATCTCTGTAATGTTAGAAAATTTTGTTCCATTTTAAGAAAAATTGATGATTTTTTTCACGTTGTTTTAACCAAATATTTAGATAAATTTGTTTGGTAAAAAAATAAGTGTATTGGTAGGAAAATTTGGTTGGATTTTTAGGAAAAACAAATGATTCTTTTCAATTTTACTTAATCAAAATTTTGAATTAGAATTAAAAAAAAATGGTGTGAAAACACCCTAAAATCTCTACTTTCTTTGTACTATAATTTTGTTTAATAGATAAAATCTTTTAATTTTTTTAAAAATATAATTTGTTAATTAATAACTAATAATACATAATTTTAAATAAAATTCGAACACTCATATAGTATTTTACATTTCAAAGAATCAAACTACGAATGTTATACATAAGAAAGTGGGTAATAATATATAAATTTCATTTTATGATATTTTTAATGTCATGAGACAATTTAAATACTAAAAGCACATATTAAAAATAAAGTAGGTAATAATGCTCCCGTGCATCGCACGGTTACTGTACTAATTGTATGAATGGAGACTAAGAGGCTGCTATGGCTTATGGCATTCGTCTTTTCAGTAGTTTTGTTAGTTCAGTATTTTGAACTCCTATATGGATACATTTTTCTCGTCTTTCCTTTATTTTGGTAAATCTCATGGTATGTTAAATCGTTTCAACTCAGATATATCTTTTAACATCTCTTCTGGTGTTAGCAATAATAATTCTTCAACCCGAAGCTTCAGTTTAACAAACCACAACTCGACTGTCGAGAGTGTTTTTAGCAATAAGAGCCTGATGCCAGAAATGGCTCTACCAATCTCGATTTATGATAATACTTCAAAAAGAAATTTATCAGTATTTTTGACAACGAATGGGAGTACAAGCATTCCATCACAGAGTACAAGCTCGGCAGGAAAGAATCCTGCAAACATGTTTTTAAAGAACGAAAAAATGTGGGCTTGTAAAAACAACACGTCCGGTTTTGTTAATAGTTCAACTGCTATTAAATCAACTAGTAAGAGAAGGTTCAAAGACCCCCAGCTGTAGTTGGGCCGATATCGGAAATGAACAATTTGCTTCTACAGAGCCGTGCTTCTTATCGGGCTATGGTATTTTTTATTTTTAAATTGAAAATTAACGATATCCACTCCAAACTCGATATTCTTGCAAAAGCTAATTTTTGTTATTTATTTATTATTTTTCTCTGCTTAGAAACCTAAGTGGCCTTTGCAAGTGGATAGTGAACTACTGAACTCAAGAAGGCTTATTGAAGGTGGTAGAATAATGGAAAAGAATTCTGATGTTGAATGTGTATAGAAATTCTTCTGAGTTTACAAGGTAGTTAATTTGTGCAAGATTTTTGCGGACCTCATTTCCTCATCTTCTTACTAGGTTGTTGGTATATATACCCTTGGTTTAGAATGCTTCTTTACCGTAATTATCATTTTCGTACAACTGTTTGGTCTGTCACTGAAAAATCTTCTATCATGATGAATAGTTAATATATGAGAAATATTATTTGATCCGAAAGTCCTCTGTTTTCATCTATAATTTTGTGAATGCACAGTGGTTACTTACATTTTTTCAAAAGCAACATCATGCTCTTATGAATCATTTTCACCAATATCATTCGATATAAAGTTGTGTATTGTCCTATGTAGGAGTTATGAATTAATGAAGAAGACTCTTAAAATTTACATCTATACCGAAGGAGAAAAGCCCGTATTCCACCAGCCCGAACTCGACGGCATATATGCTTCCGAAGGATGGTTCATGAAGCAGCTCCAAGAAAATAAGCACTTTGTGACTAAAAATCCCGACAAAGCCCATCTCTTTTACCTGCCGTTTAGCTCGCGACTGTTGGAGGAGACTTTGTACGTCCCTAATTCTCACAGTCGCAAGAACTTGGTTCAGTATTTGAGTCGTTACCTTCAGAAGATCACGACCACTTATCGTTTTAGGAATAGAACTTGTGGGGCCGACCATTTTCTTGTGGCCTGCCATGATTGGGTATGTTGTTCGGTTCACTCGATGCCACCCGCGAGGGTGGCACCCATTGGAGTGCTCTTAGCAATTTCTCCCTTATATTAATGCTATAAATAATATCCATTTGCTATATAGTATTTTTATTTTATGCAACAGCTACTTGTTTTTGTAAATCTCTTAATCTTTTTAATTGTTTTTCACATATCATTATCATGTCATAATAAAATTCTTCACTTGTAATATCATGTAAATAAGCATATCTTATTATATCTGTTTTTATATTTTGAATTTCCCATTCTATGTCCAAATAAATTTTTATTGTACTCATTTTTATCTTATTTTCTCTATTCTTTGTATCTCCAAGGATCTAAACATTTTTCAAAGAATTGCTCTTCTAATCTTGAATAGGTTCTATTGTTTGTTTCTAAAATTTGGATAGCTAAGTTTATACATTCAAGCTTATCTTTCCAATAATTTATATGTTTTTCATGTATTTCAGAATGCGGTGCTGTATTTGCAATTTTCTTTTCAAGAGTTTTACGTCTTGCTAAAAATGCATTTAACCAATCTATTTGTGGCATTTAGTTAAGTATTTCACCTGTTACCAGGTTCTGATACCATATTTTTACCTTGTATATATTTTCTTCTTTAAAGTCATTTATATTATTGTTTTAGGTGGTCCTATTCTATGTAATTTCTTAAATTTTTTCTTATATTTTTGTATATCATATTCTATCTGTTTTATTTTTTGTTCATCCTTGTTTATATATGAATATTGGATTGATTTTTCTATTAAATAATCTGCTTCTTTGATTTCCCTTCGTAATAATTCATTTAATTCAAGATTTATATCTCTCTTATCCATTACTACAAATTATATTTTATTATTTAGATTTATTACTAATGAGCTTAACTCATTTACCTGTTTATTTAATTTTTCTATTTCTATATCCCCTTTATATAAACTATTACTACTATGAGGTTCTTCAATTTCTTGAATTTTTAATAAATTATTTTCACTTAGTTTTCCTAGATTACTAAATGATCGTCTACTATGTTCTCTTAAGAATTCCTTTTGAATTCTATCATTTTTAATAATGGTACTGGTTTCATTGAATATTTTTTGCGTATATATTCTTTCTTGATTTTGATAATTCATACTTAAACTACTATTACTTAATGCATAAGCTAT